TTTTTTTTTTTTTTTTTTTTTTTTTTTTTTTTTTTGCGTGGGTGAAGGGAGTCTGATTGAGAGCCTCCAGGCTACCCCCTTTTATTGATAAAAAAAAAAAAATCAAGGAATGTTCCCTCCCCTCTATCCTACAGCTAAGGCCAAGAGCTGCTTAGATAGGGTCATAGGCTCCAGAACAAGTAGGCTAGCCTGCCAGCTCTCCTTCCCTACATCCCAACCTCAAGAGGGGAACGGGCTTGCCTTGGGACCTATAGCTACACCGAGTGGCACCCAGACTTCCCTCCAGCCTCTCACCCCATCTTACCCTTCCCCAGTGAGGAAGAAAGGTGGTTCCTAAGCCTGGGAACCGGTTGATGTCATTGCTGTGTTGCCATGGCAATTGGGGGCCTGACCCTTGCAAAGCCAGGAAGCTGGAGGGAGTGGGCCTTGGCATTGGTTCAGTGAAGTCGCCCTCACGCGGTGTGCTCTGGCGTCGGCACTGACGCCACTGCTGCTTTCCCATTTAACGGAGGCCCAGGGTTACACAGCAGGTTAGAAGTTGGACCCCTCAGCCTAAGCCTCCTGGTTCTGGACCCGTACTTACATACTCCTATCTTTTGACCTGAAAGAAAGAAAGGGAATCTGATCTCACCCCAACTGGGCTGGCCCCGAATTTGGGAGCCTCCTGCTTGTTTGTGCTAATGTGTGCCTGCATGTAGTCCATGTAGTCTCACGTAGCCCAGGCTGGCCACCAATTCACTGTATGTAGTCTCCGTTTTTTTCAGGTGTCTCCTTTCTGAAGGTCCTGGCAGTCATGTGCTGTTTCAGGCCTTCCTAGGAGAGTGGGTGAAAGGCCACCCACCCACTGGACCTGGGCCTGAATTTTCTTCCTGTAGCTTCAGGCGGTTCCCAGGAGAGCAGAATCCCGTGGCAGCCCAGATCCAGATCCCTATCTCTGACTTGTGGTGTGAATCAACTTCCTTCAAACTCCTAGGTGTTTTTGGTCTCACTGTGTTGATATACCCTAATCTAGCCAACTGAATGCTGGATTACAGGCCTGGGCTACCAAAACCGGTTTAGGCTTTTCTTTTTATCTGCATCAAAGTAGAAAGGGTCCACCCAGATTTTAATCCTGACTGCGGAGGGCCTGCTAGTGCTTATAAACTGTGAGTCCTCAGTGCCGAAGCTCAACGTGTGACCAATGACTCCAGGCCTGGGAGCTAGACTTCACATTCTGGAAACTCCCAACATCCTGGTCCCTATGTCCTGGGCTGACCTGTTTCAGGATAGTGCAGCCGCTGCAGAGGAAATGCAGGCAGCTGGTGAGGCCTGCAACAGCTGCTTACTAACGTGGACAGTGGGCTTCCAAAGCCAAGAACAGTTCTCTGCCCTGCAAGGGTTTCCCAGCCTCCCTTCTCCAAAATCTCTAGGGAAGGATGAGCTGTTCCTCAGAGTTCAGTTTCCGTTAGCGTCCAGGAAGTCCTTTCTGTAGAGTATCCTGGGGGCCTCTAGTTTTTCATAGAGTTCTTAGAAGGGAGGGCAGCAGCGGTGTGTCGGGGTTCACCCCAGAGCTAGGACCCCAGCTCTGGGTTTCTGCCTGTCCAGCGCTCCCTCCCCTGTAGTTCCTCTAAGAGGCCAGCTTGGCAGGCTCCAGGAAGCTGTTCTGGCTTGTCAAAGGCTCATTGATGGACTCAATGCTCTCCTGGGCAGAGGCTTTGTCCTTTGGCACAGCCCTCGCTTAGCTGGTTGCTTAAAAACACCCCCATGCTTTTGGTGGGTTCCGCCGCCACATCCTGGCTGGGGTGCAGACTGCTGAATCCTCAGATTTGGCAAGGACTTTCTGATAGCTGTAGGCAGAAGGAGTGTAGGGTTAGGAGTCAGGCATTCTGACGCCTCAGGACATTTGCTGTTAAGCCATGTGACTTCAGGGAGGAGAAGAGACCTTTTAAATTTAAAAAAAAAATTTTTTTTTCTTTTTAAAGTTTTTGTTTTTTGTTCCCAGTTTTTTAAGACAGAGTTTCTCTGTGTAGCTGTCCCCAGCTGTCCTGGAACTCACTCTGTAGACGAGGCTGGCCTTGAATGCATAGAGATCTGTCTCCCTCTCCTCCTGAGTGCTGAGATTAAAGGCGTGTACCACTAACCCCAAGAAAAAAAAGAAAAAAAGGGCCTGACGTGGGTGGTGCATGCCTGTAATCCCAATGTTGGGAGGCAGAGGCAGGTGGGTCTCTGAGTTCGAGACCAGCTTGGTCTACAAAGTGAGTCCAGGACAGCCAAGGCTACACAGAGAAACCCCCTAAAGCTGGAGTTACAGATGGTTGTGAGTTGCCACCAGTGCTAGGAGTTGGACCTGGGTTACGTAGCAGACAGTCTGGTGTCTTTTTTTGAATGTATAGTGTATTGTTCACAGGTCAACCTTTAGGGAAAATGGAGTAACTCCCAGCAAATGGCTCTTAACAACCTAGCTCTAAGTTACGGTAATGGATATCTCGAGACAGAGTCCCCCCACAGACAGTGGGTAGAGGTGGCACGAGCAGGTTGCAAGTCCAGTGCACAGGAGGCCCCCACGGCCATGTCTGCCACTGGGGAAAGGACAGTGAGTGGGGGCCAGCTGCTCATGGCCTCAGTTGTGCTAAGCCAGGTCAGCCAGGATGCCTGATACTCAAGTCACCAAGGTCAGAGCCAGACAACGGCAAGGGAGTCTGGTAGAAAATTCCTTCACTAGAAGGGTCCCTTGTGTCTAGAGTACATGACTCATGTGCATTGAGGTACATTGGAGTCTGCTGAGCTGCCTGGCACAGGGGCTTATTTCCTCTTTGTAGACACTTTCTGGTTACTGCTTCTGGTAGGGACAGGCCCTGGCTTTGCTGGTCACACCCAGGTGCTCGAGTCTGCGGCTTTTTTTTAATTTTAATTTTTTAAGACAGGGCCTCTCTTATGTAGCTCTGGCTGTTCTGGAACTTACTCTGTAGACTAGGATGGCCTTGAACCCACGGAGAACCCGCCTGCCCCTGACTCCAGGATTAGCGTCATTTGCTGTCATGCTCAGCTGATGCTTTCTTCTGATGTTAGTGTGTCCTGATGTCAGGACTTTGAGCAGAAGTGCTTCCATCTTTGTTTGTTGTTGTTGTTTGTTTGTTTGTTTTATTTTGTGTTCTAACTGTTCACTGCATCTCCTCTGGAAGAACAGCTTGAACTCTTAACCACTGAGCCATCTCTCCTGCCCCAAGGTGTTGCCGCTTTATGGGTATTCAATGTGTCGCCTCCCTTCTGAACCTTCTAGAAATATGTTCATGGGGTTATTATCGCTTTGACACTTTCTGGCCGGGGGCCTCGAGGGTAGGCACACCTATCCCCACATTCCACCTGACCCCAGGTTCTCCTCTCCCCTCTTGGCCTCCAGGTGCGCTACAAGGAAGAATTTGAGAAGAACAAGGGCAAAGGCTTCAGTGTGGTGGCAGACACGCCCGAGCTGCAGAGGATCAGGAAGACCCAGGACCAGATCAGCAATGTGAGCTCCTATCCCTGCTACCCAAGCTACCCTCTGCCCTCCTCTCTCAGCTGTTCCCTGGCAGCCTCAGGAAGGCCTGTGTGGCAGTGGCCTGATGAGACAGAAGGGAGAGGCTGAGGCACCCAAGTGCCTTTTCTATGTTCTCCCTCTCTGCCCAAATGGCACTTCCTCCTTAAAAAGACTGCCGAGAGAGAGAGAGAGAGAGAGAGAGAGAGAGAGAGAGAGAGAATGAGCATGGTGGATGTCAGAGTGCACGTTAGATACCTGTTTTAACACCAGGGTTAAAGCTAGAGATGGGGGTTGAGTCTCTGTTTGCCTCTGGGTGCTAACACTGTAGTCATTTCCGCCCTCCCTAGTCAGCCTTCCACCTCAGCTTGCTCTTCCTTCCTGTGTGAAAACCCAGCTGGCTCTGACTGCCGTCCCTACACTTCCTCAGGCCCAGTCTGGGGCTGTCATTGGTGTCTGGGTGTCTGTCCCTTAGACATAGGTGTGGAGAGTGGATGGTATGGAGTGAAGGTCTCTGTTGGGTTCTTTAGAGCAGCTGGGGCTAGAGAACAGGCCTCAGCTTCCTCCTTTGTATAGCCATAGACCGGCAGCTTGTGTGGCTCTGGGCTTGCAGGAGCCTGATTTGGAGTATGTGGGCGGAGGAGTGACATCACAGAACCAGAGCGCAAGCCTGAAGCCATGAAGTTTTAGAACATGGCCGGTCAGTGGCAACAAGACTTCTTCATGTAGATGAAGGATGAGGCAGGCCAGTGTCCTCACGTCTGCAACAGGAAAGGGGCCACTAGTTTGTCTGTGTCCCTCTGGACTGAGGGACTGGGGTAAATAAGATCCAGATTCAGATGGCCCACCTAGCACTTAACTGTCCAGCTTCCACACCCTTCTCTGTTTTGCCGGTGACAACGCTGGTAGCTAGTAGTGAGTTACAGCAGAGGGTCAGGTAGTAAACACAGAAGCATTCCTGCCCAGGGTGATAGCTTTCAAATTCTTCCCTCTGTCTAGAGGAGGTGTTGCCTTTGTTTAGTGTCATTCTAGCACTTGGGAGGCCGAGGCAGAGGTCATGGATTCAGAGCCACTCTGGAGGTTGAGGCAAGATCAAACAAGATGTTGAAGCCACCCTGGGCTGTGTGAAACAGAAGGAAACAGGGTTTCTCTGTGTAGCCTTGGCTGTCCTGGATTCACTTTGGAGACAGTTTGGTCTCGAGCTCACAGTGATCTGCCTGCCTCTGCTTCCCTGAGTGCTGGCATTAAAGGGATTAAAGGTGGTGTGTGCCATCTCGCCTGGCTCAAAGAGAGCTTGAAGGAGGGCTGAAGGTGGAGTTTAGTGGTAGAGCATTCACCCAGCATGCACCGGGCCCAGAGTGCCTTCCTTAGCACCACAAACAGGAAAGCACTGTTGTGAATAAATACTCTTGACTTGGAGAGCTCATTCAGATATTTTCTGTTTGACTTTCATAAAAAACAGTGAAGACAGTCTAACCAAGTGGGTTTTGCAACCCAGTAGTTGAGCTGAAGTTGGAAACGAACGGCCTGATAAAACGGACGGCTTGCTTCTCCTGGACTGCAGGGCGTTCCTCAGAAGGCTTCTAACCCTTCTCAGCCCCCAGGAAAGCCTGTTACAGTTGCCCGCTTCCAGCCTGGGCCTGACTCACACCCTGGAGTTTCCTTTCTGGCTCAGACCACACAAAGGGTAAAAGGGTGTGTCTGGGAGCTCCCTAGATAGAAGTGGGGAAGTAGCGTGGCCTTGGGTGATTGGGAAACTGTGAAATGGCTCACAAAGCTGGCTTTATGTGGCTTAGTGTCTCTAGAGGCCTCCAGTCAACAAGGCCAACCTTTGGGACATTCCTTCATTGATTTACCCTGTGGGTTTGGAGGAAAGAAGCAGGCCATGGATATCTCTGCCTCGCTTATCTGGAAGGTTTCCAGAATGTTCTGGCACCCAGTCTATTTCACCCGCCTTCCTACACCCTGTCATTGGACATTGGACGCATTAATGCCTGAGGAGTTCTGGTAACAAAAAACTGACCGTGGCCAAGATATCCACACTTAACAGATAAAATCTTATCAACCACCCAGGGCTCCAATTAGCTGATTGTTCTGGTTCTGAGCTGGGGGAAGTGCCTTGAATCTTTGGGCTTCCAGAGCAGACAGAGCCTGAGCTAAGGGCTGTGAGGTGTGACCGAAAAAAGTCTGTCTCTGCCAGAGACCCCCACCCCCAGCCGCCACAGTCAGCTGACCTATAGCTCAGTGGTAGAGTGCTTAGATGCACAAGGAGCCTGGATTCACTTTCCCCCATCACCGCACAAAGGGGTCCTTGCAGAATGCAGGCTCTTCGCTCCCCCGGCATTCCAGATTGGCACCCCTGATAGGGGCCGGAGATTGAGAATCTAGAAGCACATCCCCTGGCCGACTGTGATGCTGAGTGGGAGTGATCGCTTAACCTCGAAAAGTCTCTCCACCTCTAAGTCCCAGGAAGACAGAACTGGCTGTGGCCCCGAATCCTGGGAGAACTTTATAGCACAGGCAGAGCTGTGGCTAAGTCGTGCCAGCCTCCGGCACCCTGAGAAAGGTGCTGTCTGGAGCCACACTGTATTTTGGTTCCAAAATAGCATCCCTGTGTGTGGCTCTTCCTTTCCCAGATTAGCACCTAATGAGTAGCCGTCGCTTCTGAAGGTCAGGCTTGCCTTATAGAGATGAGTATGGCTTCCCTAGAGGAACCACTACAGACAAGGGCTTCTGCCAGCCAGAGCAGTTGAAAACCAAGCGCCCATTTTCCCCAGGATGGTGATGTTTGCTTGGGGATGTGAAATCTATCCTCAGTCCTGTGTAAGGCAAGAGGGTGAGAGTGACACAAACCTCATTCCAGGCATGCTGGCTGGAATGAGGGCTCCTGTCTTCCATTCCACCGCTGCTGGGACTCTTGGGAAATGCTTGATGTCAGGAGTGAGTGCTGTCAGTAGTGTTCAGGGGCAGAGCTCTCTGTGAGCAGAGAAGGGGCATGAAGGGCCCCGGGTGCAGCTCAGTGACAGAATGTAGATTTAACATGTGCGAGTTCAAGATGCTCATCACTAAGAGAAGGGGTCAGGGGAGGGGAGGAATTCCATATCTGTTATAATTCTGTTTTTACTGGAGGTGTGCCCTGGCCCTGTGCTAGGGGATGAGAGCCCTTAAGTTTGCTGCTTTCTTGTTTGCTCCAGAGCACTGAGGACTTTCATGGATGAGAAAGTGTCTTTGCTGGAGCCCTTTGCGGGAGCCTTCTTTTCACTTGTTTACGTGTGTATACCTGCAGCCTCAGTTTTGTGTCTTTGGCCTTACCTGGATGAGGCCCTGGGCGTCATCTTCAGCACCGCTTAAAGAAAGGGAAAAAGGAAAGAAAGTTCGATTCCTGTGGCCAGCAAAGGAGTTTGCTGAGCATTAGATCCGTGACTCTCTAAGCCTGTCACTCGGTTGTGTGTAGCTCGTCCGGGCAGGAGAGGGGCCGAGGTGGATCCGATCCATGCAGGCTCCACACTGGTTAACTCCAAAGGACAGTAAAACCAGAAACTCCTCGGACACCCTTGCTCCAGGCAAGAATGCTTTGCTCTTCTGTCAGCTCCACGTTTTCGATGCAGTGGATTAGCTCTAAGTCTTCAGTGTCTGGGCCTGATCAATAAATAGTAAGTAGTTGCTGAGTGTTGTGAGACAAATCTGTCCTGTGGTATTCTGTAGGCTGAGGCAGGAAGGTTGCTGATAGGTCAAGGTCAGCTGGGAGACATAGGGAGTACCTGTCTTCACAGAAAAAAAAGGCAGAAAGAAAGACTAAAGAAAGGTAAATAGTTGTAAATTTCCATTTCCTTCCCAGAGTTAAACGGGCAGGAGGCAGGCTCCTTAAGACAATCGTTTAGTTTTCTCAATTAAAAAAGAAAAGATTTGTTTTGCTTTTATTTAGGTGTGTTTTTATGCCACCCGTGTGGGGGTGCCCTCTGAGGCAAGGGTGTGGAGTCCCCTGGAACTGGAGCCACGGAGGGTGTGAAGCTGCCTTACTCGAATAGGTGCTAAGGACCAAACCTGCGTCTTTTGGGGGAGCAGCGGATGTTCTTAACCATTGAGCTTCTTTGCGGTCCGAATTCTCGGATTTGCTTTTTATAGGATGCACTTTTATCCATAGCTCTTTTTTTTTTTTTTCCTTTCCCTTCAAGATCTGTTTTTACGTGTATGAGCGTTTGCTTGCATGAATATCTGTGGACCATGATGTGTGCCTGCTACTCAAAGAGGCCAGAGTGGGCCATGGGATTCCCTGAAACTGGAGTTATGGGCAACTATGGATTGCCTGTGGACAATGGGAACTGAACCCAGGTCCTCTGCATGAGCTGCGAGCTCTCCGAGCTGCTGAGCCATCTCACTGTGCAGCTAAGTTTGGCCTCGAGACTTCCTGCTTGTGTACTGGGGTTACATGCCCAATTTATGGGAGTTCTAACCATACCGTAAGTCCCTCACCAGGCTGCGGGGGAACACGCCTTTAGTCCCAGCACCCGGAAGGCAGAGGTGGGCAGATCTCTGAGTTGGAGACCAGCCTGATCTACAGAGCAAACTCCAGGCAGCCAGAGCTACGAAGAAAAACCCTGTCTAAAAAGCAAAACAAACAAACAGCAAAAATCCCATGAGTCTCTAGTAGGAAGCCATGTTGCCTGGCGGAGAACCAAGGCTCTTATTTTAGTAGCAGTTCTGTTATAACCTACTTAACCTAGCCCATCTTCAACCTTGGTTTCCCCATCTGTAAAATGGGAACAATAACAGCATATTACTCTTGGGCTAGATGAGAAAAGAGAAAGAGTAGGACTTTAACCCACCCCCACCCCACCCCCCAAAAAAAGGCTGGCTGTGAGAGTGACCTGATTATTCCATTTAAAGCTTGATGTTACTGACTGAGCCATGACGAAGCGTCATGTGGGGAGCAACATGTGGTCAGTCAGGCCTTTTTCCCACCACAGTCAGGAAGCAGGTACCTCAGGAAGCGGGACGTGAGCCACCCGGCCTCAAGGGACCCTACCTAGTCTCACCGGAGGCCTACCCCATAAGGGTCCTTTGGTCCCAGTCACTGAACCCAAATGCACGGAGATCTCATGGTACAGTAGAGGCCCGGCTTCCTTCCATGGAGGCCCACGACCCTGCCTGGATTGGGGCTCTTTAAAGATCGGAGCTTTGGGGACCGGAGGCGCGTCTCAGCAGATGAGAACCTAGAGCCGTTCAGGGAATCCACCTGGTGGTTCATAACCACCTCGAACTCCACTTCCGGGGAACCAGCGCCCTCTTCTGACCTCCGAGGGCACCAGGCAGGAAGGCGAAACACGCCTGCACGTAAAATAATAAAAGGGGGGGAGGATGATCAGAACAGATCTTGATCAGCAGGATCGCCTGGAGGATGTTGCTTTCTTTGCCCGTGTGCCTAGGTGGGCCGGGAGCCATCACGGGGTTCCCTATTTTTGCCGGGACGGAAGAGGAAGGCAGTGGCCAGCCTGAGCAGGGCCTCCCTTCCCAGCCGTGGCGCCCCATGCTTCCCCTTCTGGCTTGCATTTCTGTGTCCTCCCCAGGGCAAGAGTGGTCCTGTGATCAGCCCCCATTTTGAGCCTCTCCCCCTTACCCCCCTGAGGTACCCTCGATGTTTGCACGGAAGATGAGCGGGCGCTCTCAGGAAAAGGCCTCTCTGTCCTGCTGGGACTCTGTCAGCTGTTCTAGTGAAAGTCCTGCCGCCAAGACCCCCAAACCCCACTTCCTCTTCTGAAATGGGAGGGAAAGTGTGTGACCGACTTGGATTATCACTAAGTGAGCGTGTTGTGGAGGTCAGAGGTTGCAAGCCAGCCTTCTCCTGCTGTGTTTGTCCCGGAAGTCAAATTCAAGCCATCGGACAAGCGCCTTTACTTGCCAGCTCCCTGCTTTTTATAGTTTAGGGTGACTGTTGTCAGGGTTGAGGGTGATAAGGTGGGGGTGGGGGTTTTGCCATGTATCCCTGCCCTTGAAGGTCTGTGGCATCCTCCTGCTGCTTCCTCCAGGTCGTAGGGTTATGAGCATAAGTGAGGTGGATGAAGCTAACATGGAAACACACGTGTCCACACGCCTGCCTTCAAAAATGATGGGTGTCCTCAGGACCTCACGGGGATAGGTGTTACCATAGCCTCGCTTACAGATGAGGAAACTGAGGCTTTAGCAAACAGTGCCAATTGCCTGTCTTCCAAGGGTGGGACCAAGTTGCCCCTGAGCCTATAGGACAGGCACGGGGCTCTTTGTCTCCCGAGAGCCATTGACTGTGGCCCTGCATGCATTTCCAAAGCTCCTGTTCGCTGCATCAATAATGCAGAGCCCCGCTCAGGGAAGGGCTCTCCTTCAGGGACACCTGGCTCTGCAGGCCACCAGCTGCCACTGGGGCTAGGTGCAGAGCTGTTCCCTCCTCTTCCTCACTTCCTCTCTGAGGCTGTTGGTTGCCTCTTGGGGTCAGGCCCCGCCTCTTCGAGGAAAGTAGACTGGAGCCTGGTGAGATGGCTCACTGCCTCACCGAGTGCTTCACCAAGCCTGGTGACCTGAGTTAGTCCCCCAGGTCCCCTGCACATGCCCTGTGGAAGTAAATAAATGTAATCTTTAAAAAAATATATATATATATATATATTTTTTTTTTAATATGAGAAGGTTGTAAACGAAAAACAAAAAATTGGGAGAGCAGGTGTCTTGAGTCCTGAAAGTTGGTGTTCTCTACTGCTCCTCATTAGCCACGGAACAGGGTCCCTAAGGAACGGAGCTGCCGAGGTCTCCCTTTGCCCTGTGTTTGTGCATCCCTCACCCCTCGGTGCCCTTCCAGGGGGCACAAGGGGTCCACCCCTGTGGAGTTTTAGTCCAGCCTGAGCTGGCTGCCTTGTCCCAGACTGTTTCATCATTTGAGTGTGTGTCCCTGCTTGGTTATGAAACAGCAAAGGGAGAGGTCTTAGCCTCTACCAGCAGAGTGAGCAGCTCTCTGCCTCCAGACACTCTCCCACAATTCACTGCCATGCCTGCCGCTCCCCTGCCTGCCTGACAGCCCGGACTATAGGAATAACCACTGTTTAGCCAGTGGTAGTGCCCCAGGTGTTCCTGGGTGGCCTCAGCCCCACGCCTCTTGCAGCCCATGCACAGAGGATGCTGAGGGCAGCGGAGTGCTCATGGGAGTGGATGGCCAGAGCCCTCGTTGGGCTCTGGGGGCTCTGGGGCCTCTGGGATTCCGGGGCTCCAGGTCTTGGTTTCTTCCTTTTCTGTTCTAAGAACACGAGCAGGCTTTGCCCCTCTCCCTTATTCATCCCTTCCACTGCCATTCTCCAGTCTTAGGAAAAGGCGGGCCAGAGAGATTCCTGGTAAACAAGCCGGAAGCAGCCTCCTCGGCAGGCAGGTGCAGAAGCCTCCTGAGGATGGGGCAGCCTGCTTTCCCAGGGTTGGGAATCAGCTGTTCAGCCTAGCTCATTCCTCCTACCCGAACCTTCGCCTTCTCCTTTCCCCTTGGTCGGTCTCCCTGCCCCTCCCCACCCACCTCTCCCCCATTCCTCTGTGGGAGAACAGGGGAGTAGGCCTTATGGAGGCTCTTGGGGGCCAGTGAAGATATGACCCATGAGAGTGTAGGAAGGATACTTAGATTCTCTGTGCCTGTTTCCGGGCCTTGTATTTTGTCCATCACCTTTTTGTGTGTGTGCGTTTTACAGTATACATTCTGCATTTATACAGCAATATTTCTGTGCCGTTATCCTGAAGTAGTATGCGCTTAGTGAGGACTGTGCTAAAGTCCGTCTTTTGGCAGTCCTGGAGGCTGGCTCAGCCACTGTGTCACAGGCTGATCATAGGAGCAGCCTCTGATACTAAGGGCTTGGCCCACAGGAAGGGCCAATAACTTGGGGCTGCTGTGGTGGTCAATACTGACCATAGTGGGAGCTAGAAATGTTCAGCCCCTGCCGCAGGCTCATACAAGGGAGAGCTCTCCCTTCTCCCTTCCTCTCTCTTTCTCTCTCTCTCTCTCTCTCTCTCTCTCTCTCTCTCTCTCGTGCATGCTTGCTCTTTCAATTTAAAGATGGGGTCTCATACAGGCCAGGCCAGGCCAGGACGGAGCTTGGTATGTAGCCAAGGATGATCTTGATTGTTATTTATTTATTTATTTATTTATTTATTTATTTATTTATTTATTTATTTATTTTTAGATAGGGTCTCACTCCGCAGCCCTGGTGGGCCTGGAACTGGCTATGAGGACCAGGCTGGCCTAAAATGCAGATCCACCTGTCTCTGCCTCCCGAGGGCTGACGGTAAAGGAATATACCATGCCTGATACTGCGCAGAATGTGGACTTGAAGCACACTGTGCTGGACCAAGCACCCTGGCGACTAAACTGGATAGCCAGCCAGTCCTTGCATGGCCTTCTTACAGCTGGTATCTCATTGCCCTCTGCAGTAACACATAGCATTAGGGAGGCCTAATTAAGCCAGGAAGCAGGCGAATATCTGAGTTCAAGGGCAGCCTGGTTTACACAGTGAGACCTTGTCTCAAAAAAAAAAAAAAGTTTAGCTGAGGCTTGTCATGGTTAAGTTACTTAGAGAGCTGGTACTCTGTCTTTTCTGTAGTTCTCGAAGAGTGTCTGTCTGTCTGTCTCTGTGTGTGTGTGTATGTATGGGTAATATGTTGCTCAGAATGGCCTTGCTCCATTCTCCTGCCTCAGTAGCTAGGACGAGAGGCACTCGCCACCATGCCCAGCTCGTGTGGCAATGGGAGGGGACTGGTTGATTTGCAGCAGAGCCCTTCACTCCTTCCTTTCTGTGCTGCAGATCAAATACCACGAGGAGTTTGAGAAGAGCCGCATGGGGCCCAGCGGAGGTGACGGTGTGGAACCAGAGCGCCGGGAGCCCCAGGACAGCAGCAGCTACCGGAGGCCCCCAGAGCAGCAACAGCCTCAGCCTCACCACATCCCGACCAGCGCCCCAGGTGAGTGGGGAAGGGGAGGAGGGGTCCCTGAGGACAGGAGGGTTAGGCAGGGAGAAAGTGGCTGCATCCATGCGTGGAGGAGCCCTCCCCCGGATCTCATCCCCATCCCCGCTAAGGAGGTGAGCGCAGGGGATCTAAAAAAGCAGCTCCCCGAGTGAGGAGCGCACAGCCCTGGCACGAAGCCCAAGACGCTAATGGATATGCGTGCCCAGCCATAAGCTTTTTGCGGGGAGGGTGCTGAGCAAGGCTGGGGGTGGGGGTTGGAAAGTCATGCCTTTGGGAGTCCTAGGGGTTGGGGGAACGAGCTTGGCCAGACAGTTTCTGAGCTCCTCCATCTCTCCCCTCTTCCAGTTTACCAGCAGCCCCAGCAGCAGGTGACTCCATCCTATGGTGGCTACAAGGAGCCCGCAGCTCCTGTCTCCATACAGCGCAGCGCGCCAGGTGGCAGCGGGGTGAGTAACTGTGAGAGGGGTCACAGTGCGCGCACACACACACACACACACACACACACACACACACACACACACACGGTAAAGGCTGAGCATGGATGTTCCAGGCTCCATTCCACCGGGTGCCCTAGGCCGAGCTCCACTCTGGGTGCTTAGGGATTCAGAGCAGTGTCAGAGTGGGAGAGAAGGAAAGCAGCCTGGGATAAGTGGCCTCCGTCTCGGGAGGAGGCAACAAGAAGCTGTCTGAAGGCTAAGGTAGTGAGGGGCGTGAGGGGCGAGGACAGCAGGGTCAGGAACACAGAGCGGCCGAGTCAGACTACAACATTTATGGACAGTTGGGGCTGGAGAGGTGGCTCAGCGGTTAAGAGCACTAGCTGCTCTTCCTAAATGGACCTGGGTTCAAATCCCAGAACCCACATGGCAGCTCACAACTGTCTCAAATTCCATCTCCAGGGGATCTGAGACCCTCACACAGACATACATGGAGGCAGAATACCAATGTAAATTAAAAAACAAACAAACAAACAAACCCCACACATTTATGGACAGTCTTTATTAGAGTAGAGGGCTGAATGGTACAGGGGGGACAGCAGGGACAAAGGCCACGTGACCAAACATCCTTGAAAGGTTCAGTGTCCTGTGAGGAGGTCCAGGTTCCTAGAGACAGTTGGAGGAAGTAGGTGAGGCCAGGTTCTTTAGGGACTTGGAGGCCAGGGAGGGGGAAGGCCTTTGTGACCAGTGACCTACACAGACTTTTTTCTTTATGGAGATCACCCTAGAAATTGGGTATGGGTGTAATAGCAGCACTTGGGAGGGTTGGGCAGGAGAATCGCTGTGAGTTCAAGGCCAGCCTGGCCACGTAGCTACACCTTGTCTTAAACATTAAAAAAAAAAAGGAAAAAGGAAAGGTTAACCTTGGTGCTCATGGGGGGCGAGGGACAGAAGACCTGTTTTACAAAAAATGTGTACTGGTGTTTTGCCTGCATGTATGTCTGTGTGAGGGTGTCAGGTCCCTTAGGAACTGGAGTCTGTGAGCCACCATGTGGGTGCTGGGAATTGAACCCAGGTCCTCGGGAAGACCTGCTTGGTGCTCTTAACTGCCTCGCCATCTCTCCAAGTCCCTGGATATCACGTTTTTAAAGCCACAATTTTAGTGTCGAGCCTGTGGGACTTCACTGCTGCTGTGTGGAGGAGAAAAGTCCAAGAAGACTCGGTCACAGAAGCAACCCCCCCCCCCTCCGGGGCTCCATCTCCTGTTCCCTGAGCTCCCTGAGGGGCAGAGAGAAACACAGGGCTTGGGAGTCATTTGGTGGAGCCCTCACCTGGCTCCGGAGGTCTGGGCAGGGGCGAGCCTGCCTCCGGTACCCAGGCTGACGGCTGGCTGTGCCCCGCAGAGACGGTACCGTGCGGTGTACGACTACTGTGCCGCGGACGAGGACGAGGTCTCCTTCCAGGACGGGGACACCATCGTCAACGTCCAGCAGATCGACGACGGCTGGATGTACGGGACCGTGGAACGCACCGGCGACACGGGGATGCTGCCAGCCAACTACGTGGAGGCCATCTGAGCCCCCCCCCAGGCCGCCCCACCCTCTGTCTTCAATGCATTCCATGGCATCACATCTGTCCTGGGGTCTGACCCGTCCACCCTTCAGTGTCTCTGTCTTTTAAGATCTTCGACCGCTTCTTTACCCCCCCCGCCCCGCCTCCGGCTTCTTTTGCCAACCCGAGCCCTGTTCCGCCACTGTTAATGGACCCCTTCCTCTGGCAGGGTTTTTCCCTTGGACCAATCAACTGATTGATTTTTCTCTCTGGAAGGGCACTGGCTGGGCACCCTGGGGAGGGCAGGATTGTTCTGAGGAGGAGAGGCTCACAGGGCTGGGCTGAGAGGAAAGACCCGGGAAGGAGAGAAGTCAGGCGGGGCGCAGTGGTACACACCTTTGATCCCAGCGTTTGGGAGGCAGAGGCGGGTGGGTCTCTTGAGTTCGAGGCCAGCCTGGTCTACAGAGTGAGTTTCAGGACAGCCAGAACTAAGTCGGGAGACCCTGTCTCTGGGGAGGGGAAGGGGTTGGTCAGCTCTCAGCCTCACTTCCTGCCTTAGGCCCTTCAGCACGCCTGGCCCAGCTCCCCAGACACCCTTCATCCCAGAGCTGGGTTGAGCCCCATACTCCCCATACCTCCAGGTGGGGCTCCACATATTTCCAGGGGGTGGGTACTGAGGCCTCAGTTATCTAGGGACCAGTGTGACGGGCTGAATCTCTGCCCCTGTGTGGGACCCCTCACACACTGAGTGTGCCATCCTGCCCACACAAACATAGGGCATCCAAAGAGCTCTGCAGGAGGCGCAGCTCCGGTCAAGCTCTTACCTTTGTCCTGGAGGCAGCAGCAGGAAGGAGGGGGACCTTCCACCCAGACCTATTTGCCTCGTGCCTCCCCCAGCCTGCAGGGACTCTCTTCATCTCCCTGGCTGGGCGCCTGCTGCGAAGGGTAGAGCAAGGGATGCCTTTGGGACCTGAGTTAACTGAGGTGTTTCTTCCTGCTCCCCTGGGAAGAGGTCTCCTATGGCCTTCCCTGCCCAGAACAAGGCTTGATGAGCTTGGAGCTCTGCAGAGCCAGAGGATGAGAACAGCACTCGCTCACTGCGGAGGAGGGGGAAGTCTGAGTTAGATACAGATACGTGCTTTCCTGGTTTTTTGTGTGTGTCTGACGCTACAGAGTGCGGTACCAGGAGGACCAAATCACCCACACTGGCACCTCCCCCGAGGCTCTCCTGTCCCTGGAGAGGGTCCAGGGCTCCAAAGCCGGCAGCACCGTCTCTGGGCTGGAGCTATACTCAGGTTCCTTCTTCGCCCTGGGGTCTAGGACAGTCCCCCGCACGGCTTCATTCATCTCTGGGTTTTCTTGCCAGCCCTCCTGGCTTCCCTGACTCTCATCTCCGTCTGAGTCTGACGAAGGCATCGGTCGGTCGGGTCAGCAATGCGGTTATCATGAGGGCTTACTAGAGTAACCATCTTCCTGCCTGGTCAATCTCTTTACCTCTGACCCCAGCCTGGGTAAAGGTGGGAAGGGGTGTCCTTGTTGGACAGTATGGGGAGAACCTTGCCGAAGCACCTCAGGAGCCCCCGGGGAGGCGCCAGTCCATTCCATTTCCTCTTGATCTCAAAGCACAATGTGGTCCTGGGGGCCAGAGGTCAGGGACACTTGCTCTTGGAGGGCCTGTGTTCGGAAGGTGCCACGAGCCTCCTGGTTCCACTCAGCCGAACCTCCGTTCCCAACATCTCAAGCCAGCTGCTCTTCTACTGCCCTAGAAATGGGGGAAACTTTCACACACCCGCAGAGGGGAGAGGGACTATCAAAGGTGCTGAGGGCCCCAGGGCTGCTGGAGTCCATAAACATTCCCAGAAGCATCTACCCCTAGAAGGGCACAGAAGCCCCAAGCCCGCGGTCTCTTCCTCAGTGAAGGTCTTTCAGCCAATCAAAACCCAGGAGAGAAGGCACCTTGGCTAGACTGTGAACTTCACTTTTGTGGACCAATCCTGTAATGCAAGGAGCCCCATCCCATGGTGAGGGACATGCGTCCTCCCCACACCGCTTCCTGTTTTCCCTCCTCGTGTCCCTCCAGGGAACATTTTATTTCCTAATAGCTGGACACAAGACAAAAAGTTCCACCCCACAAAGCCTGTATTTAAAAAGAAACAGAAGTGTCCCTGTGAAGTTTGCCTCTGTCCAACATTTCATCTGTGAGTGAGTGAGTGTGTGTGTGTGTGTGTGTGTGTGTGTGTGTGTCCGCCCACTCATCTTTTATATGGGGTTGTTGTCTTTCTTTGGTCTGTTGGGTCCTCTCCCTCCCGGCCTTGCGCTGGGGATCAGTTCTTTCTGTCCTGTTATGATTCTCAACATTGACTTGAACCACAAAGTGAATCTTTATCCTGGTGACTCAAATAAAAGTATAATTTTTACCTGCAGATTAGGCTTCCTCCTTGGCTCTGAAGTAATTCCTCTGTGTGTGTGTGTTTGTGTCCTGTCTGCCGGGGAGCACTGACCCGTCACCCACAGAGAGCCCGGTTACCCCACAAAGTGACGGACTGGTCTAGAAACTCTTCGTCGTGCCCTGACACCCGTGTCCTTGAGGACACAACCCAGCCCGGCCTGCTGTCACACACAGGGCTGGCACTCCCTGAGCTCTGAGGCGCCTCACACTGTCGCCGTCCTCAGTGCTTAGGAATGCTTAGGAATGGTCAGGGGTCCTCAATCGAGTTCCTGGTCTCTGGCCAGGGGCCCGGTGCCCGCAAGTGTTCAAGCCAACCCATGAGCTCAGCCCAGGCAGGCCACGTTTGAATTGTAAAATGATAACGACTAGGACAGCCCACAGGGTCTACACAGCGCAGCAGTCTATCGGCTTCCCCCTCCTCTCCCGGCCCTGGTGTCCCCGGCCATCATACTGCGGCCTCTAAGCTCAGTCTGGAAAGGCACCTGTGGCAAGCAATACCAAGACAAGCCAGCGGGAGGTGGGCTCAGAAGAGAACATGGACTTAGGAACGTGAGAGCCTCGCTGTGAGCCCTAGCCCCTGTTAACAGATCGTGAAATGCTGGACGCTTGACCACCTCTGAGCCACCCCCCCCCCCCCCATCCCCGAGACCCACGCCAGACCTTCTTCCTCCAGTTTTCCCTTGAACTAGCCGATTGGCCCACAGAACTGGGAACAGTTAGTTTCCTGAGATAAATCGCCAGAGATGTCTGAGAGGGAAAGAGGAGAGAAGGCAGGTAGGTGGTGGGTTCCGAGCCTCCGCCCGCACCTCCCGGAGCCTCCCACCCTGCAGAAACCGCGTCGAAACACAGAGGGCCTGTCCACACCAGGGGGCCTGTCCACAAGAGAGGGCGGCGCTGGCTTCCTGGGAAGACGCGGAGCCGCTCCGGTTTTGCCGGGTCTAACCGTAGCTGTCCCCTGGCTACCCACCGCGGGCCCTGTGATTGGCTGGCTGTGGTGACGGCAGGTGGAGAGGAAGGCCGCCAGCGGAGCTGCAGCATCCTTGGGCCTCAGGTCCCCCCGGAGGGGGGAGGGGACCAGAACCGAGAGACTAGGAGCCATTCCTCGGCGCTGCACCGACCTCCGCGCCGCAGCTCCCGCTTCCCCGGAATCGAGGGGGCTCCTCCGCTTCTTTCCTGGACCATGCTGGATATTTTCATCCTCATGTTCTTTGCCATCATAGGCCTGGTGGTTCTGTCCTACATTATCTATCTGCTCTAGCGGCGAGGGGAAGGATGACGCTGAAGGGCCGAGCGCCCCGCTTGCTGACTCACCGGTGGATTTTTGCTTCTGGTCACCACTCGGGTATTGATTCAAAGACAAGATGAAAAGACAGATTGGTTTTTGTCCTCTGTTTCTCAGACACATTGACGTAGTTGTTCTTTTTCTTTTGGATCAGTCTGAAAAGAATAAGAGAGGCAAGCTTTCTTTAGGAACCAATTTAAGAATATAATTTCTTAAAATTAAAAATAAAACCTCACAGTGCGCTTGGTTTTAGGTAGGCTAGGAGGAGAGGGACGTATGTGCTAGGGAGGGCCTATTTCCTAATTTCCTCTTCCAGGTCGGGTGCAAAACCAACTTGTCCATTTTCTTTTGGCAATGACTACATTACATCCTTATGCCTGGGCAGGGAGGCTTCCAGATAGCATGACTGTGTTGACGAATTCGCTTGTGCTGGCACAAGTGGATTCATTAATTCACTGCTGTGACCACAGATGCATTCATTAATTCTTTGGTGATTCGTTCCCACTTGAGAAATAAGAGCAAATGAGGATTTACTGGGGGCGAGGTCTGGGGGGATGCGCCTCCTACCCCCAGTGGTGGAATCTGGTGTGGAGGAGTGGGGCGGGTGGGGTAGTTTCTGGAGCCTTAGATAGCTTGCTAGTTCCTAGTTGGGGGTGTCTGTCGCAGTTCCCAGCTGAGCGCTTTGTTTTTTTTTGGGTTCCGCACAGCTCCTGTGTCCGGTCCAGCAAGAGGCCTCTTACCCACGGCGGCGGTCCTGAGGCCCAACCGACTTCTTCCAGTGTGTCCGCATGTGGCTAACCCTTGGCGAGCAGGGGCTCTCTGTGAGGCAGCGGCACCCCCGGGGATCTCAGGGGTTCGAGGGTGGCACTGGCCGCTGCTGCACGCGTCTGAGCTGTAGGCGGTGCGTACTGAGACTGTGGAGGGCTGAGACAGTGAAGCCAGGGCGGAGAGCAGCCTCTCCGTGGGTCTGCGCCCCGTTTCACAAGCCGGTGTGCCCTTGTAAACTCCAGGGCAAAATCAGCCTGCCTGTCTTATCGGTAATCTACAGACCGTGCAGGCTGGGGTTGTGTGGTTTCCCTTCATCTCCAGCTTCCCCTCAAAAAAAAAAAAAAAAAATCCCGCCATTTGCATCTTTTAAGATTTATCATGTCTTCTCTCCTTATCCCATTTGTCCCCAGCTTTTTAATTTGGCGAGAGGCATGGTTGTGTGGTTCTTATTCTTTGTGACTACTTATAAAGCATTGAAACAAAATGGCTATATTAATTTAGGGGGGAAATTATGCCAAAGGGGGGGGTGTTAAACATTTTTTTTTAAAGAATTTGTTAAGTGTTCCTTTTCTTTAAAAAAAGAACTGTTGCCATACTTCCTGGTCCAGTTAGAATTGGAAAAAAAAAAGATAAACTATGTTTTAGAATAGAGTATTCTGTAGTGTCTGTTATCTCCTTGAAGACTCCATCATAATTGTCCTGCATTGATTTTGTTTTCCAGGTTAAAAATAAAAAAGGAAAAAGAATGAATTCATGATTTCTTGTAATAGCATTTTGTTCAGTTGCTGTTTTAAAAAGAACCAACGTGGAGTTTGGTAGCACGTGCCTGAAAACTCAGCGCTTGGGGAATAGAGACGGGAGGGTCAGGACTCCAAGGCCAGCCTCGGCTACTCGAGATCCTGTCTTCTCAAAAGAGGGGCCAGGGAGATAGTTCAGCTGTTGAGAGCACTTGCTGCTTCTGCAGGGGGACCCCGTTTTGGTTTTCAGCACCTCGCGGTGGCCCACAGTCACCTGTACCTGCAGTTCCAGAGAATCCAATGCTTCTGGCTTTCCACAGGCACTGAACACATGTGGGGCCCAGACGTTCGTGAAGGCAAAACACTCAGATATATAAAACAAAAATTAAAGGAGACAGAGAGAGACAGAGAGAGACTGAGGTTGTATGATTTATGTCACAAATTTCCATCCTAAATTCCTTCCTGGACAAAAAGAAAGTAGTGACCCCTGTCCTCCAGGCGCTAAGGCGGGAGGGAGGACTGCTTGGGCAGCAGAGGAAGGCCTCACCTCTTCCGGTGCCTTGCTTTCGCAGTGCTCGGGGGGGACTGAACCCAGGGCCTCGCCCATGCTAGCCAGGAACTCTGCCAGCTCCTGTCCAAGATCCTCACATCTTAAAAATAATAATGATAAAATGCAGACAAGAAAGGAACTTTTTTTTTTTTTTTTTTTTTTTTTTTGGTCTAGGTAACAAAATAAATGGCCTTTAAACTTTAGGGCTTTGGTTTATAGTTAATTCCTAGACTGGAAAAGATTTCCTATCCCTTCCCATGTTAAAAATGCTAGAACCCACCGCCAGGCATGGTGGCACATGCCTTTGATCCCAGCACTTTGGAGGTAGAGGCAGGTGGATCTCTGAGTTCGAGGCCAGCCTGGTCTACAGAACAGCCAGGGCTGCACAGGGAAACCTTGTCTTGAAACAAAACAAACAAAATTCTAAAACCTTAGGCTAAGTAATCCTAGACAGCTCTTAGCTGGTCACCCTAACCCTCTCACTCTTTCCCACATGACTTTATCTGTTCCAGGAAGGGTCTTGCTATGGAGCCCAGGCTGGCCTCAAACTCACAGTCCTCCTGCATCAGCTTCCTGAGTGCTGAAATTACAGGTGCGTGCCCACCTTAACACAATACCTTACAATGTAACATTTAAGGAGAAATTACATTTAAGTTACATATAAGGAGAAAAATGTATTTATTTAATGAAAATATACATTGCCCGTCATTTGTCTAAGGTGTTAGGACATATTAACAAATATAATACGATGTGACAATATGGAACTAAGATGAGAAATTGCCAGATTCACTAACACAATAAGGGTGGTGTTGAATATTGGTATGTGTAGGAGGTGATCTTCAGGGATGCCTTGACATTTCCCTCTCAGGCATTTCTCTGACTCCAGCATAATTCCTTTCTTCCTTCTTCCCTTTCCCTCCCTTTTTCCTTTCCTACTGGGGAAAGAGGGTCCTTCTGTAGCTCAGGCTGGCCTCAAACTTGAAGTCCTAACAGCCTCCATTCCGGGAGAGCTTGGATTATAGGCTTGAACCACTATGCCTGGCTCAAACTACAATTTTCCAGCAAGACGGCAGTTCTGTACCCTTACCTAAGCAAGTAACAAGATTTGAAGGGATCTAAAATACAGAGTTGATTATGGTGGTTAAATCTTTTATGGTGTAGTCTCTAATCAAGTTCACTCTGAAGTTCTATGAAACTGAAGTTCTTAAGCCCATGTCAATAAAAATTGAAACAACTTGTCAGTAATTCTGGAAGAGGTCAAAGAGGCAGATCTTGGTTAGATAGCAGATACACATGACTCCTGAGTGCTGGGATTAAAGGGATTAAAGGTGTGTGCCATCACCCCTGGCTGTACCTCCTCCCCCTCTTCCTCTTCTTTTTAAAGATTTATTTAATTTTATGTGCATTGGTGTTTTGCAGGCATGTATGTTTGAAGGTGCCAGATGCCCTGGAATTGGAGCTACAGACAGTTGTGAGTTGCCGTGTGGATGCTGGGAATTGAACCCAGGTTCTCTGGAAGAGCAAGCAGGCCGTGTTCTTAACTGCTGAGCTATTTCTCCAGCCCCTTTTTCTTTCTTTCTTTTTTTAATTTCAACTTTAATATTAAAAATTGTTGTTTTTTGGTTTTTTTTTGAGAC